TACGTATACATGCTATGTTTGTATGTGACCACAGGCATGAAAGAAGATACTCCGTTGGGCTCCTGGGGGTGGATTGGGGACAAGGAGTGGGTATGAATCATGAAGGGCTATAGAGAATATGTAACATTTGTGTTAGAAATTATGTCAAGAAAAGGAATAGAACAGATACTGCTCACATAAAAGGTCAAATTCTCTCCTAAAACTTAACGAAAGCTCCCCATTTGCTCTGTTCCAGCATTTGAGCAGAATTATATTCATGCCTTGCTTGTCAGACATAACATCTACCTGTTTGAGTAAGGGCAACACAAGACATCTGCTTGGCCTGCCCTTTGCTGGTCTTGTCTTAAATATATTTTTATTATGATAAAATAGCTCTCATGTCAAAATGCCTAAGTATCATAGTAATAAATATATAATAAATACTTATATCTGGAGTGAACCTTGACATATATAAGATAGCATCTCATGATTTATGTGAGTTTTTTAAAAAGTGTTGGCTGGTATCCAGTCATAGGAATGCATAAGATATTTATCACCAAGCATATATAAGAAAGAAAGAGAGGGAGGGAGGGAGGGAAGGAGAGAAAGGGGGAGAGGGGGGAGAGAGAGACAGGAAGAGAGAGAGAAAGAAGGAAGGGAAGGAAGACAGAAATAAACAAAGAAAAGATGTAAAAGGACAAGACAATCCAGAGAAGTAACCAAACAAGTCTCAAGTCTTATTTCCTCAAAGAAAACAAGCTCCTTCCCTCATGCCTTCTATCCTAATACTGAACACTCTGTATTACTGTTCCCTTGAATACTGACCCTCCCCCCCCTGCTCCCCACAATGTAAGCTCCACGAGGACACTGAATGTTGTTTTCTTAGTGCCTAAAATAGTGCCTGGCACAAAGTAAAAATTCAATATGATTTGCTAAATGGATGCAAGCACAGGTCAGTATTTAATTCCAATAACTACCGAATGAAGGAAGAGGTTTCTTTTAATTTCTGCTCATACGGATTTGGAAGAATATGAAAAAACATAGGTATTAGAAAAGATGCTGTAATTATAGTTAAAATAGAAACTATTAGGCATAAATCGAGGCAATTCTATTAATACTGCAACAATAAAGTAATTAACTGAGAAATGTCATGGGAAGGAGGCTGAGAGCTATGCCAAATTATCTCACCAGAAAAATGCCTGAAGATGCTTCGGGAAATTTCTGTATATCACATAGTGATATGACTAGAGATGTGCCCTTCATTTAAATAGGCAGTCAGAATACTTCAGAAATCATAAAAATATCCAAATAACTGAGGTGTGTTTTGTTTTCATTTATCATAGTTTTACTTTACCAGAAAAGCTGTGCCAATACTTAAACTTGAAATGGGCTCCAAAGAAAATTACCAATACCCTCTTATTTTTTTGTTTGCTCTTTTGTATTTATGAAGAGAATTCTATTTTAGAAACGATTTTTTCTTCCAATAAATAAAAAAGGAAAGAGCCCTCGCTGGTGTGCCTCAGTTGGCTGGGGATCATCCCACGCACCGAAAGGTTGCCTGTTCAATTCCCGGGCAGGCCACATGCCCAGGCTGCAGGCTCAGTGCCCGGCAGGGGGCGTGCAGGAGGCAGCTGATCAATGTTCTCTCACATCAAGGTTTCTCTCTCACTCCCTCTCCCTAAAAATCAATTAAAAAATCTTTTTTTAAAAAAAGAGCAAAAGACTAGCAAAAGCAAGTCTTACTTTGATGTCAGTATAAAGAAACTCTTGTGTTTTTTGTAAAGGCTCACAAGTCATCCTTGCATGAATGTACCATATATCAGCAATAAAAACTGTTCGACGCATTTCTGAATTTGTTCGATGTCTCAAAAAGAGAAAAGAACAAATGCTATAAGCCATGAATTTTTTATGATTAAGCTTCTCAAAACACTTTCAGTGAAGGTAGAATATTCGTACTGATTAGCAGAGATAAATCATTGGGACAGGATCTTCACTCACCTTTCTAACTTGCCTCATTGTGTAGATATAACAATACAAATATTATATAAACCCATCCCAGGGATATTTCTGCTAAGCTATTGAGTACCTACACTATAATTATATCAGGCAAATAATTCTTACAATGCACAAATTTCCCATGTAAACGTCACTGTATATTAGGCAACAAGCAGGTAAAATTGTTTAGTATAATTAACAACATTTACACTGTACAGTTACAACAAGCATGAATGACTGCTTTCATAAATATATTCAAATTATAGCAAGATATGAGAAAGTCTTCAAAATTTAATATGTAAACCATTGTATAAACTATGCTCTGTGCTTCTAATTCTAAAGGTTATTAGCAATTGAAATATATCATTAAAAATTTCACACCATGAAGGCCTCTCATATTTAATAAAATGTAGGTTTAGAAATAAATCTTATTTTTTCTTTCTTGTCACTCCATTTCTGTTTCCCTAAATACCTCGAATAAAAAAGTTGAGGAAGTAAAAGGCAGAGGCATTTTAAACTATGTCGTTTGCACACCTGCCTATATTTCCTGCTATAGTAAGTATCCCAAGAGCAGGGGCCATGTTTTCATTACGCCAACTATTAGGCTCCAGTTTGAAGGATTCAATACAAGTTCATCCAAGATAACAGGCAAAAAGATGATATAAAGTTTCTGTGTTTATTTCTCATTAGTGGGTAGTCTAAATAGTTATAGGACAGATAAATATATTGTTATACAGAAACTTGGTAGCTTTGACATCTAAGTTATGGCCCTCACCTAATGTGAAATAAACGTTTTCATCACCTCACGGGAAGGCTGAACTATAGCAATTTGTTTCCTGATGGTTCTATTGTGAATACTTTAAAATAGGACAGAGGTTTAATATTTTCTTTAATAAGGTTCTACTCTGTTCCCTTTGACAATTGAGAGCAGGTGAAATCTTTTCAAACCCCGGAGGATACCCAATGCATATGCCATCTTGATTAAACATATGGAATACATACTTGGGCAAAAGCCACCGGGAGACCTGCGTGAGTAATCTAAACACCCGAGCTGAGAGGGGTTAATATATAAAGATCAGCCTTGCGCTTTGAAGTTTTCTGGACTTCATTTTCCCTAATTAGGACAAGATTTCATAATCAAACCACTGTACAAACATGTACCTAAACGTGTAGGTTTGTTTCTAATTTTGGGAAGAATTCTTAACAGATTCCAAGGAATCGGCTCCACATGGGAGCAGATCTCTGATAAGATTTGCCTTGCTCATTGCTAACTTGCAAATGCCTGCTTTCCAGCTCGGTTTCCGCCACGTGACAGAGATGGGCATCGCCTATCAAAATCTCAAGTGCGATGCTGAAATATAGAGACTCTGACACCAGCATACCATCTGAGTCTGAAACAGTGGCAACTCTAGGTCATAAAACACGTATTCCAAAATAATCTTTGAGGTATTCATAGGAATCTAACAAACCTAATTCTACATTAGAACATTATCAGGCAAAAAGTAGGATTCCCAATCTTTCCTTCCACATACATTTTTCTCACTATATTTGGACACTCGACCAAGTATTTTTCAAGAATACCTGGCAGTTTTAAGTCATGCTGAGAAACCACAAAACAACCTAACTCTACCATAACACAGCAAACATGCAGAAGCACATTCAAGTCAATGAGTATTATGCCATTATATAAGAGGGAAGTTGGTTCTCCCATGAGACTGGTGTTATACAAAAATAATTTCATAATTTAGAGAAATGCTGTAGGGATAAAATAGGCATTAATCTGATGATATATAAGGAGTCTGCAGTAGATTGAAAGATGGCAGGAGAGGTAGTTGCCACTGCCAGCAAGCTCCTTCCAACCCCCAACCCACACACATACACAGCATCTCTGAAAGTATGGAAGGGCTGGGCTGGAAGAATTTCTGTTCAGTAGTGTCATCTTCAGCCCATGCTCCCTTCACGGCCCTGCCTTGTAAGGTGGAGCCCAAAGAGAAGAGAGCAACTCTAGGCCCACCTGCAATCAGGTAAGCACTTGATAAAGACCCCCTTCTCCTACTGCTATTAGATGATTAGACCTTTGCCCAAAGGTTTCGCTTTGTTTACAATACAATAAAATAATCTATCTATCTATCTATCTATCTATCTATCTATCTATCTATCTATCTATCTATCTATCTATCTATCTATCCTATCTATAAACAGGACATCATTTCTCAACATAATGTCTCTATGAGATTGTAGGCGGTACAGTAACAAAGGTGAGTGGATAGACTCTTGAGATTCAGGACCTTAACATTTTCCAGGAATGAGCAGATTCCATTTTGTAGACCAACCATACCAGAGGGTAGTTGCAAAACTGTACGGACCAGTTTTGCTTAAAAGTCCAGGGAAAATGCTTCACCAGCCTGTCTGCTGTTGTTAGATTGTAATCACTGTCTGCTTGTGGTTGCCTCAGCAGGAGAGCATCTAAGGATGTGGTGCGATACAGACGTTCGCTGTCCATTTTAGCCACCACAGGGCTGCCAGCAGGAAATTACCACAAGGTTTTCAGAAACTGTTTTAAAAACTGTTCGGAATGAAGTGGGAAATGCTAAGAAAAGTAACTACAACATGGATATATACAAGTTGCTGAAAAATACCTTGTTGGCTAACCTTGTCATTTAAATCTGCCAGCACCTGTGCAAACCTTTTAAGATGCCAACCCACCACCATCAACTCTGCCTCAAGCCTCTTCTGCAATAGGTATGAGGCTCTGCACACAAGTGCCTGTCTGTCCTTCTGTATTAAAATAGGTGCTCAGTCACAAAAGACCTTGCTAATCCATAATGTCAAAATTGCTACAAATATCCCATAAATGCAAGGATGGTGAAAACCCTGGTACCGGGATGGTGTCCTTGAGTTCTGATGGCAATCTCCTTTGGAATAAGAATTATACTAACTTTCTCCCCCTGAATGCCCAGGTCAGGGAAGAGAACCCCAATTTCCACAATGGCGGTTATGACACTTTGAGCTGGCTCTGGGCTTACTTTGTTCATGTGGATCTGTTGCTGGTATTGCTTCTGCTTCTCCAAGAACTGCTGGTGTTGCTGCTGAATGACCAGCTGAGCCAACGTGCTCTGAGGCAAAGGTGCAGACTGGGTTCGATTCAGGGGTCTGTGGCGGGGTAGTTTGTGGGTACCTCGAATGCCAGGTGAAATTCTCTCTTTTGTTGCCAAGGGAGACTGAGGATGTAAGGGAACTGCGCCTGAAAAAAAAAAATCCATGGACAAACACACACAATTTTGTTTAAGAAAAGACAAGAAGCCACAGAAAACAGATAGAGAAGATACGTTTTAAGAAAAGAAGTGATTCTACCGGGCAAACATCAGAAGGCTGGGATGGATGTAGTGAAGGCAAAAGTGCCAAAGCATTGACCAGGCCTGAGGCTGAGCAATGACTCACCGGTAGTCCACTCTGGTATGCGAAGGTTAAATAAGGTGAGTTGTTGTTGTTTTTCATGGATCTAGAGCAGGGGTGGGGAACATCTGGCTTGCAGGCTGTATACGGCCCTCAAAATCATCTGGTCTGGCCCTGCCAAGGCAACTGCAGGCGGGACTAGAAATTCAATAAATCTAGGAGCTTTTTTCTTAGCTAATTTTTAAGTCAATAATTTTGTATGGCCTGCAAATGATGTTATAAATATCCAAATGGCCCTGGGCAGGAAAAAGTTTCCCCATTCCTGATCTAGAGGCGTAACTAAAGATAACAGCCTTTCCCACAGTACCAGGTATTAGGGAGGCCTTGGTAAATGGTAAATCTTTATCGGAGCCTTGAGTTAAAAAGACATCGCATTGCATAGCTAATAACTAAAAGCCCCCAAATGACGTACAAACGGTGCCCTTGTTAATTACCAGCTACAAGAAGCTTTTGCTGTCGCATTTGTTCTTTCAATAATAAATGCTGCAGGAGGGCCTGGTGGCTGCTGTTGGGCTTTCCCTCTAAAGCGACGTGGGGATGGCTTGAAGACGCGGGGATGGTGCCCCCGAACTGCCCGGGCAGAGGCACGCCTTGCCTCAGGGTCTGGGCCTCACACTTCTGTTTCTCTTTCAGTGAACTCGAAGCCTGTGTCAAGAAAGAGTAAAGGTATTAATGCTCTTTCATCCATGTGGGTCGTTAGATCTGTACATTAGTTTTTCATTCCATATCCTGCCTCATACCCCTAAAAAAAAAAAAAGACCCATTTTACCTGTGGCTGAGTAGGGAAAAATGGATAACAGAGTGTCTTTTAATCTAACTGAATTCACAAAGGAGGCATAAAGGTAGAGCTGAAGCACTGGAGACAATTTAGTATTAGGTATCATCGTACTGAACTTAAAAAAGATTTTTTAACATTAAAAAATGATGCTAATCTGCCCTGGCCGGTGATGCTCAGTGGTTAGAGCTCCAGCCGGCACACTGAAGGGTGCTGGGTTTGATTCCCGCCAAGGGCACGGGCCTTGGTTGCAGGCTCGGTCCCAGGCCATCGCTGGGGTGAACATGGGAAGCAGCCCATCGATGTGTCTCTCTCACATCGATGTTTCTCTCTCTCTCTCCCTTCCACTCTCTCTGAAAAGCAATGGAAAAAATATCCTCGGGTAAGGGTTGAAAAAACAAAAGATGCCAATTTCAGGCTTACTAACTAGGAAGTTGATTTCTAAAATATTTTAATATACTGATAAAGTAAAAGGTATATTAAAAAAGTAAAATTTATTCAAACTGCTAAACTAAGGATACATCACAGCAATTAAGAAGCTAGAGATGAAACGGTCTGTGATTCTGGAATCAGAAGCAGAAGGAACAATTTGTCCTTTCTCTACATGCCCTCTAATAAGTTCGCAGAGCCCCAACTTTCCAATATTTAATTTTTAAAATAAAATTCTTCAGATAACTCAATGAGAGGTTGTATAAAATGTGCAGAAATTTGATTTAAACATGTATTTTATATTAATTCATAACAGATCCCCAACTCTCTAAATATTGAAAATGACACTCCAAATACTTTTATTTAATAAAATAAACTCCAAGTGGAATTATATCAAATAAAAACGCTATTAAGAACTTGAAATGTATGATAACAGTCATAAGGCAATAATAATTATATCATCAATAGTAATAATGAATTACCCTATTCAAAGAATTTAATGAATGGTGGTCATTTTGGTATTACAAAAGCAGAAGTCTAATACCTCAAAATTATGTGGCATGTTTCTTTTCAAAACTCATGTTTCATCTTTCAAAATTACCGTGCACCAGGGAAGCAAAGCAATTTTCAGTGATGGAGAAATTACAGGACAAAGAGGTAAATGGTTCGTCTTAGTCACACGGCAAGTCAACGCGATGTTTCATCCAGCAGCGATTCCTTCTCCTGGCCTCTTTTCCTTAAAAATTTCCCACTACTCAGTGGGGAAATGGAATATTAGAGGTCCCTTTGCCAAAGCCATGCTAAGCTTGAAAAATTAATTGTGATGGCCTCATCTACACCAAAATGGAAGCAAAGAAAAATGAAACTTCCATCCAAACCGCACTGGTTTACTCATCCAACGGCACCAAATTGTATTACCATCAAAACATTAAATGGTCTGGCTTCAGTACTCGGCCCTTTGAGAAAAAAATTCTACCTCACCACATGAAAAGTGGTGTGTGTTTGTGTTAGCTGATAGGAGTGACTTAGAGCCTGCAAAAAGGAGTGGATCTAAAATGCTTATTCATGCGTCATAAGAAGTTTCTGTGTCAGTGTTTGCTTATCGTGAGAAGAGATGGGAAAAACAGGACTGGGAGAAAAATAATTTTTAGTAAGTGAAGGTTTGAAAATATCATGCAGGAATATTTAGGTTTAGTTCCATCCTTGATTCCTTTTTCATTTTTTGCTAGAACCAACTGTTTACAAATGCTGCATGTAGAATTTCAAGAGCATAACTGAATTTGGTATTTGTAAGCTTCTCTTCAATCCCCAGATATATAGCAGCATCTAAATCTTGCTTTCTTCTCACTGCTGTAAGTAATNTGAATTTGGTATTTGTAAGCTTCTCTTCAATCCCCAGATATATAGCAGCACCTAATCTTGCTTTCTTCTCACTGCTGTAAGTAATGGTATCACATAAGACCACATTCCACTCTGTTAAAAATACCAAGTATAGAAGATACACCTTAGACTGGTTTTATAATATGTACTACTGAACCCAAGGTCAAATCTGTCATTTAAAAATGTCACTAGAGGTGTGTTTGTGTAAATTAGCATCCTATAAACAGGTCTTATATTCTGAAAATAAATGAGGTCACAAAATGGTCCACTCTTTATAATTTCCTAACCTTGGAATATTATAAAAGATGTGAATTTGACAAGTTATACTCAGGGAAAGACTTGCTTCTGAAGATTGGCAAAATTGGCCCTAGCCGGTTTGGATCAATGGTTAGAGCATCCACCTGTGGACTGAAGGGTTCCAGGTATGATTCCGGCCAAGGGCACGTACTTTGGTTGCAGGCTCAGTCCCTGGCCCCAGTCAGGCACATGCAGGAGGCAACCAATCGATGTGTCTCTCTCACATTGAAGTTTCTCTCTCTCTCTCTCCCCGTTCCACCCTCTCTGAAAAGCAATGGAAAAAATATCCTTGGGTGAGGGTTAAAATGAATAAATAAATAAACAAAGATTGACAGAATTGGTGCCAAGGGTTAAAACAAATTTCTCTTTAAACCCAATGTATCACACGACCTTTGCATAACTGCAATTGATTTAATTTTCACACATTTCATAGATGAATTATTCTGGGTAAAGCTTAAAAATCTTTGACAATGACAAAAGTTTCCATTATTTTAGGGAATACGTATAAAATAATTATTGCTGTCTTCTGCTAGTTGGACAATTACCTCCACAAGATCCTATTTCAGTTGTCAGGACTTTTAAAGTAATTTCTTCACTTTAAGTCTCCTGGGAAGAATTTAATATTGTTCTCAAAGAGGTTTTCCAGATACGTATTCTTCAGTACGATAGTCAGTAACATAAATTCTCAAAATAAAGTCATTCGCAGAAAAATAAATTCTATAAACATATGTGCTGTGCTTTAGATAGAAGCTACACCTCTCAGCACTGGCCTGGGTGGAGCTTTAGGTCGGCTACTGACTGGCTCTGTGCTCTTGGACTTTTCAATATTACTAGTCTCAGCTTCTTCTTTTGTAAAAATGTGGCTGGTGATCTCTGATTCATGGGATGGTCGTGTGGAGCTAATAAAATAGCTGGAAAGTGCTTTCTTTTTTAAAGCCATGAAGCATTACTGCCCAGGCCAGAGTTGCTCAGTGGTTAGAGCACTGCCCTGTGTCCTGAAGGGTCTCAGATTCGATTCCCGATCAAGGGCACGTACCTGGGTTGCAGGTTAGATCCCCAGCCCCTGGCTGGGGCGCGTGCTGGAGGCAACCAATCAATGTGTCTCTCTCACATCCATGCTTCTCTCTCCTCCTTCCCCTCTCTCTAAAAATCAATGGGAAAAATATCCTTGGGCGATGATTAACAAACAAACAAAAGCTATGAAGCATGATACAAATGTTAGTTATTATTTTTATAAATTATTATACAAACCAGTATAATTTTTCCTTTGAAATTAAACTGAACATCTTTGAACAACTCAGTAAACAGCAAAGGAGAGTGGTTTCTACCGAGTTTCCTTCAAGTCTAAATCCATGAGAAATGAGAGATCCCCTGTGAAAATACCCCTCGGGCTGCTTTAGGCCGCTGTGTGGGGCGACTTACACTGAGCTGGGCAGGTACGGCTGGCAGTCCCAAGGTGATATTGGGTAAAGAGGGAGAGGTATAAAGACTGAGCAGGTTCACGGAATCTTCGTGAATGAGAATGCGCTGCTGTGAAACCATCTGCTGTAAAGAAAAGAAAAGGAAAGGGGGGAAAGTGAAAGGGGAGTCTCAAAAGATTATAGTACCACAAATTTTACTGTGAAATGTTCAGATTTCAGACAATAGGTTTTATATTATCATATTTAGTCAAAATAATTTTAAGTATTTTGATTATTTATTTTAGGATTTCTGTATCCAGATGTTAAATGTAAGAATTAAGTTAAAATTTTCTTCCTCAGACATAATTATAAAATCTGAAGAAAAGGCTTCCACGTTCATTTTGCAAAATTCTTTTTTATAATTCCAGCTTTATGGGCCAAAATCAGTGTGTTTGACATCAATCAGTAAAGTACAACAGTAACACTGAGTAATTCTTATGAGTTATATATACATTTTTGTATTACTGAGTGATGAATATATATGTAGATAAAATCATTGTCTTCATGTGGGTTAAACATTCTACTGATGGGAAAGCTCACACAAGGAAATCTTAGATTAAATACCACCATATAGGACTTTTTAAATAATTAATCGTATGCTTTAATATAAAATTTGTGAGTAGACAACTCTGTGTGGTGCTTTTTAGATCCTTCATATTTAGAAACTGAAGTAGATGTAAAGCATTATTAGTTCCCTGTGCCACAATAGCCTTCATTTTCACTAAAATACGCTAAACGTTTTGGCATCATAGTCCTTTTTAACAACAAATACCTTTTTAAAATACAATACTAAGAGTCAGGTTTTCCCACATGTGGCCTAATATGGTTGCTTGAATTACATTTTCTGTTTAATTCTTGCTTCCCTCCCAGAACTCTTATACAAAAAGAGTTACAAAGGTCTTATTAGACTAAGGAACTCTGGCCTGATATGGTCCCCAAGGGAACAACATCCCTGAAAAAGAATACTCCATGTAACAGTATGACACAGTGACTGCTTTCTTCCCAAACAAAAAGCATATGGGACTCCAATAATAGACCACCTCCAAGAGGGATATTGCACACACGGGCTTTGACTAAAGTAAATATAATAACTTGTCAAGCATGTTTGGGGGAGCTGTAGATTTTCCCCTGGACAAACCTGGGATATCAATTAACTGGGGGAAATATCATGTGCTCACACAATGCAAGCTCAGACTGTCACTGAAGAGTGATGCGCCACCAAAACACAGGATGTTATTCCAAAACATCACCTCAATCATAGGTCTGTTTGCAGATGAGTCATAGCCTTAGGATCCTAAAGGCAGAGGTTAAACGTGGATTTTTCTCATTGCAGCTTGAAATTCCAAGCTAACTCAGATTTTGTGGTTTTTTTCTTTCTTTAAAAACAAGTCAGATATTTGTGCATGAAAATCAAGAGGCGTACTGAAACTTTTAACAGGAGGTTGACTTTATAGGTCACCTTCTACAAAGTTGTCTAAAATGCCACGGCATGAAGATTGCTGGAAAGGACTTCATCACTGCAATGTGTGAGGCCGCAATTTTATTTTAGGGGTTATCAGAAACAGTTGCATATTTGCTCTAACGAAAAAGATAAGCTACTATTGTGTTTACATGAATATTCTTTTAGCATAAATTTTAATGTTTGAGGAAGTAAAAGTTTTAACTAGCTCACTGACAGCATGTAATTTATAATAAAGGGATATTTCACTCACTTATCTGCATTCATGGAAGAGAAATATACGTGGGAAAGTAAGCACTGGGAATGATGTATAATATTCACTCAAGGTTGTATCTGCTTCCCACAGCACTGAGCCTTGACATGCACTATGGGAATGACAGTGAAAGACAGCACAGACCTAAAAAAGAGGTTATCTTTGTTTCCCAGACAGAACTTCTGTGATATCCTCCCACGTCATCACAAACATATACTAAAGTGAGAGAAGTTTTCTCTTCAGACGGCACTGGCACACTGGCTACTCACGCGAAAGTGAAAGAACTTGGGAATATTCTTACTATGGGATTTCAGATCCCTGTAGTTTCACATCAAAACTGAGTGTCTCCATTTCCTACGACAGTGTATTGATTTTCAGCACCTAGCCTGTGCCAAGCCCTGTGCCTGGGGTTTTTCAGAGGCACTCTCCAGCTACCATCGTGTTCATGTTATAGACGGAGAAACAGAGTGATCTCCCCAGCTCTGGTTCCCAACGGGATCAGCTGACTTTAAAAGTGAGCAAGGCTACAGGACCTGTTTTCAGGTTCTGCTGCACAAGAGCTACCCACCACTCCGCAGCCACCGCTGAGAGATAAGGGGACCAGTAAAAAAGCATGGGGAACACGGGTCTTTAGAGAGGAGGCAGAACCAGGCCCTGAGGCGCATGGAAAATAAAAGCATCCAGCTGACCTGGGCAGGACAAAGCAAAAGACCTGGCGACGTTATAGATGTGAGGATCCTTAAGTCACGGAGTCAACTCCTAAGGAAGCAAGGAAAGTCCTGAGTTGACCTAGGTCACTCGGTACAGTTGGCACTTCCCAGGTCTTCCCATAGAGACGGTGAACTTCAGGGACTAGGATGTCACTTAGTTTGTTTCCCTTGGATTACAGATGAAGAAGCAGGCCGAGCACTTATGTCACCTCCGACGGCTAGAACTGAAGTGACTTAACAGACCTGAAGAAGGCTTTCTCCAGATTACCTTCTTTAAATACAGCTTTCCTCCATTTGGCTTTTTGGTGGGAGCAGTCTATCAGGTCCAGGTCAATGTCATTTAATAAGAACCCGGAGCTGTATTCTACACAGTTCAAGGAGTGCAGACACCCTTGAAAGCCAGAAACAACAGGTGGCGAGAGGCACCGTTGCCCTCAAACAGCGGAGGGTCCTGCCCAGTGTTGGTGGGAGGCCGACGGCCCCGCCAGCCCAGCGCTGTGCGGAGCCCACGAGCATTTCAGGCCAAACCGGGGTGCTCCCAGGAAGCAGGTCGGAAACCCACCCAGCCCTGAAACCAGTGCCGGGCTAAGAAGCCCATGTTTCCCATCTTAGAACGTAGGTGCTAGATGGTTTCGATCTTAAAAAAAATTTCAGAACCAGAAACCATTGCTGCAGATAGATAAAATGAAAAAATTAAATATATAAATGGATCTCACTTAACACTCACAAAGCAACTAACGAGTAACAAGTTAGATGAAGACTGTGGTATTGGGTGGTGGGCGTGCACAGAGGTCCTATAGCACGTAAGTCCACGTGCTATTCGGGGGCACAGAGAAGTGGAGAATTAATCCTGATGGCCTGTAATCATCACTATCGCTGGAGGAGGGTTACAAACGTAAGTGGCTCAGAGCAGGGTGTCGATTTTAAACCAGGCTTTCATGGGTAACTAGCATTTCACCAGAAAGAGCATGATCTCGAGAAGAGGGATACGCCTGAGCCAGGTGTTGGGGCAGGGGAGGTCTCCTCACATTTTAATAATGATCTTCCAAACTTAATTACTTTTCTCACCATCATAGTATTTAGAAGCCTACCTTATGGGTAATATCTGAAATCCACATAAATGAAATCCACATAAACAGAAAATAAGGCAAAGAGGTCAACAGATGACGCCTGACAACAGGAGATATGTAAACAAACACCCACTTTTTAAGAAGCTCATAGAAAAAACTGGATGTAGACTTTTCAGTTTACTGCATATTCAAAGCTACCTACAGGAGCATTAGAAAAGGAATGTAAGTCTCTACAGGGTTTAGGTGAGAAGCAGTCAGGCCAAGGGAAAAGAAGTGTGGTCTAAGCGTTTTGCACTTGAGCTCTGACACTCACTGGCTTTTAACTCCTGGCCTTTAAATCTAGACCTTCCCTGGTCATCAGATCCTCCTGCCTAAGACTGAAGCCTCTCTGACTAGCTCTGTCTGATAAATTCGTGTGTCTAAGTTAGAATAGCATCTGGGCATAACCCATGGACACTGACAATTAGTGCAGCGAAGGCTGGGGGAGGGGGTGG